AATTATATATTAGTACTCTGACTGACAGGTAGAGTAATAATGGGCAGAAAATAATTTAATTTTCTTTTGAAAATAGCTTTCTGGCTGTGGTAAAAATAATACGCGTTTATCATAAAAAGTTCAGAAGTACGAAGAAGAAAATTAAAAATCACCAGAGAACAAAAGAAAATGAAGACATCAGGGATAGGACTGGAATCAATAAAACTCATTCAAAAATCCCCCAAAATCCAACAAGCTAGTTATAGCTATTCCTTTCATCATTTCAGGCAAGTTCACCTACTTAGACAGGCAAAACCTCAGAGATATTGTGGGGTTTTTTTTTCAGACCACCGCAATAAAGTGAGTTGTAATCTTTTTTTTGTTGGTGGAGAGTTGTGCCTTCAATTTGTAAAAATGCAACATCTATGAAGTGCAATAAAGCAAAGGGCAATGAATCGAGGCACAGCTGTATACACATTTAGCTCTATGTGAAACATTTTACATAAATGGGATATTATATATGCGATTCCAAACCCTATTTTCCAACATTTCTTCCCTAATCAATATGTTGTGGAAATAAAGATCACCATCATTATTCTTTGCCACTGCCTTGTATTCGCTTGGATGAATTACTGTAATTCATTTCATCAGGCCTCACTGAAAGACACTGAGGTTGTTTCCCAAAGTTATGTTAGAATGACATTACCAAGAGCATCCTGTATACTTCTGAAAAATTCCCAAGGATCACCTTGGATAACACCAGAAGGTGTGGCTCTGGGAAATCACAAGGAACACCACTGACATTCTGATATGTGGTGGCCAACTACCCTCCCAAAAGATTGCCTCAATTTATGCCTCATCATGATTGACTTTATAAATCTTTGCTGATGTGATAGGCAAAACAGTCCCAGTGCTTTAATTTCTGGCTTTTTGTTTCTTTAGCATGTGTTTATTGTGTGTCTGTGTTTCTTAGAGGACAACACACATAAGACTTCTAGTTTTGAAGAAGCGAGGTATTCATGCACAGAGGGTCATCACAGCATTATTACAGCAGTTTGCAAACAGAAACAACCAAACAGGGACTCAAAACACACCAGTGAAGGTATAAACATATGTTGGAATATTTTGCAGCCACACAAAGAAGAATATTTTGGATGATTATTTAGTAGCATGGGGAATGATTATACTATCAAGTTTGAGGAAATTTCTTGAGGAAAAAAATTAAAATGCAAAATAACCTGCAGAATAATTCCAACTCTTAAAATATGTATGCTTAGAGGAAAAAAGATGGGAAAAATTTAGGAAGACTAGGAAAAATTTCCTCATAGAGGCAAATATGAGAAGTTGTTAATGTTGATGACTTCTGTGAGATGGAATTTTGGATGATTTGAATTTTCTTCTCCATACTTTGCAGACACTGAGTTTCCTGAGAGTGTGGGGCTAATATTTAACATTTGGTTGATGTGGTTATTACCTTCAGTGGTTTTCAGGTCACTCAGACTCAGATGCTTCACATTATCGTTAGTGGTTTCTTTTAGCAAATTAAGTGGACATATGCTTTGGGTAGTCACAATACTATGAACATGCTCATTAGTACTAGCACTGTGTTAGGGGCAAGATCCCAGCTTTCCAGGAGTGTGCCCTCTGGAAAGTGAGAGAAGGCATGTGCATAACACCTGTGGTGTGAAAGGAGCGAGCACATCTACTGACAATTAGGGAACCTCCTAGAGGAGGGAGCATTACAGTCCAGCTTGAAGGAAAAGTTGGATTTTACATGTAACATTTGTCATTTTTTGCCTGACTCTCTAAGAAATAACTGTTTATTGTAGAAAATAGAAAAGTGCAGATGATGGTAATAGACATTTATAGGGTTATTATCATGTGTGGGACACTGTGTTAAATCCTGTATATGGAAAAATCTCATTTAACCCCCACCATGGGTGTGATTATTTTGTGCATTCCAAAATCAAGAAAAGGGAGCATAAAAGAGATTGAGTGGCCCTGGCTGTGTGGCTCAGCTGGTTGGGCATTGACCCATGCCCTGAAAGGTTGCCAGTTTGATTCCCGGTTGGGGCACATGCCTGGGTTGCAGGCTCCATACCTGGTAGGGTGTGCAGGAGGCAGCTGATCTGTTTCCCTCTCACATAGATGTTTCTCTCTCTCTCTCTCTCTCTCAAAATCAATATAAAATCTTATAAAACAAAAAAAGATTGAGTGGACACTGGACACATGATCAGAAAACTGGCAGAAGCAGTACTAGAACCCAAGTCAACCTGGTGCCACAGAAGAAATTAAATCCGCATTAAGCCCACTGCTTTCCAGTCTCTTTGCCCCCATGCACAAGGCTTTTCCAGGGTTCTCTTGCTGCCTGCACTCTGCTAAGTGATCCTCACTCAAGCATTGTCAGTGCATAGGTGTAACTGAAGGCATACGAGTGGATGAACTCATAGGGAAACATGCAGAGGAGAAGAGAAAAGGCCCTGGGAACAAACCCTGAGTAACAGAGATAGAGACACCTTCCCAGGTCTGGGCTGGGTGAAGAGCAGGCAGCATCGAGGAAAACTTCATAGGGGTGGTAATCTTGGAGCTGAATCTTAGAGACTGAGCAGTTTGCCAGGTGGAGAAGAGGAGGACAAATGTCCTGAGCAAAGGGACAACATGGTAACTTGGAAACCCAGCAAGTGATTTCAGTATAGCTGGAGCACAGGGTGTGTGTCTGTCTGTCTGTGTGTTCATTCATGGGTGTGCAGGTATCTGTGTAGGGCTGTGAGTATATCTGTGTCTGTGTCTCTATGTGAGTGTGAATATATATTCAGGAGGCTAGAGTGAGATGGAGAGGCTACAGAGGAAGGCAGGGTTCAGATCATTAAAGACCATATGTATTAAATGGGTTTCCAGAGAAATGTGTGTGTGTGTGTGTGTGTGCTATTGGTTCTGATTCTCTGGAAAAACAGAAAAAAATAGTTTTATTATGAGTAATTGACTCATGGGATTATAAAGACTGAGATGCCCCATAATTCGATGTTTGCAAGCTAGGGACCCAGAAAAGCTAGTGCTATAATTTAGTTCAAGTCCAAAGACCCAAGAATCAGGGGAACAGATGATGTCAATTCCAGTCCAAGGTCTAGAGATGAGATAAGCTGTCCCAGCTTAATTGGTGATAGGAAAAACCACATGGAGGATCCAAATGATAAACTCTTCTGGAAAGATTCTCAGATATACCCAGAAACAATGTTGAAACTGTGCAATTGTGGCCCGCTCAAGTTAACACATAAAATTAACCATCACAATCCCTTCTGAAAGGCTTGCAATATTATGGAAAATGAGTTTGGGAACAGAGTAGAGAGATCGGTGAAGGCCAGCTAATCAATACAAACTTCATTTATCTAGAGGGCAATGCGGAACCTTTTAATTTTTTTTTTTAAGAGGAATTACAAGATCAGAACTGTGCTTTTGGAAGATTCTTGGATTGACTGGATGGTTTGGAGAAAGAAGAGGCAGGAGAGAAGGAAACCAGTTGGTAGAATATAATAATAGTCAAAGTGAGAGGTGATGAGATACATTATTAGGATGGTGGCTACAGGGTGAGGGTGGTTCACCGACCTGAATGAAGGGAAGGGTGATGGTGGATTTGGGTTGACAGATGCGAGAAACATCAGGCAACCTACTGGGTTATCTGGGAAAGTCTATTGTCGAGCAATCAAACCAACAGTTCAAAAGTAGGTCCTTCCTTCATCCACCCGTTTACAACAAATATTTACTGAGGGCCTATGCATGGGGAGCCCCTAGTCCAATGTGCAACCTAGACAATTTATGAGACTGAAACAACCTAGTGTTACAAGAGCCGGGAGATCAAGGGTCTCAGAAGGGCGTGGGGGCGCTCAGTCCAAGCACCCAAGCCAGCACTGAAGGATCTGGGTTACCTTCCTACAGGAGGGGACTTCCAAGTTAAAAATTCTGGGGTAGATGAGAGGGTTTCCTCCCCCAGGCAGAGACGTTATTTGGGAGCTGGGGATGCCCAGTTAAAGAAGATAATGGTTTCTGGCCTGGTGGGTGGACACAAACAAGACAACGCCATTTGATATAAATGCAGCCGAGTCATGTACAGCGGTACCTCGGTTTTCCAAGGTAATCGGTTCCGGATGACCTCTCAGTTCTGAAACCTTCGAAAACCGAGGGATCCACAGCGCCGGGCTAGGCCTCAGGATCTTGCAGTGGCGGAAGCCGGGGGCACATTCCACTTCCGAGGCGTGTGGGAAACCGAAGCATTTACTTCCGGGTTCACGCCGTGGGTAACCGGAAATGTTCCTCAACCGGAGACCTTCAGGTACCACTGTATATATGTTGTATGTTTATCTAGTCAAACAGTAAACTCCCCTCCGTGCAAATTTACCCCTTTTAAGGCTGAGCTGCTCAGAACCATACCCACGGAGGGGGGGGGCAAAGTGGGACACGAGCTGTCCCTCCAGCGCAGCCGGGCGTTGAAGGACGGGCGCAGGGCCTTCTCGGCTACTGAAAGGAACCCAGCTACCGCGCCCTGGTGGCGGCGGCCAGTGTCCAGAGCTTCGGCCTTCCAGGCTGTCATCTCTCTGGACCCTCAGCTCGCGTGGTGTCTTATTTTCCTCCACACTGGGGCAAACGGGCTGAAGAGGGCCTCATTCATTGGTTTGGGTACCCAGAGGTGAGGGATTGTGGAGAGAAAAAGCACGCTTCGTGTAGTACAGAAAAAAGGAAGTGAAATCCGAAACGCGGCGGCAGGCAGAGCGACCCCGGCAGACACGGAGAAACATCTAAGGGGAGCATACCTCGGTGGGGGGACTCACCTGCCCAACCCACCGCCTTCCCGCTCCGCTACCACAGCTGGAGCCTGAGGGGCAGGGACAGCAGCAGGGACTTCTGCGTCCCTACGCTCGCACAGCCCCCCCCAAATTCCCAGGCCGCTGCTCCCCACTTCCTGCAGCCTAGATTACAGCCTGGGGGCGTGTGTGAGTGGCTGGGATGCGCGGAGCTGAGGAATTAAAAAAAAAAAAGAAAGAAAAAAAAAAGAAAGGCAGCGAGGTAATTAGCATCCTCTGATCCCATTGGCTCTCCTCGGGTCCTGTTTTACATACGCCCGCCCCGCGGGCTGCCCAGGGTTTTGCGGGGTTTGGCAGGGTTTGCTGCTGCCGCGGTCTCTGCTGCACTTCAGTGCGGGGCGGGCGCCGAGAGAACCCCGTGCGGGGATCTGGGAACCGGGAGCCCGGAGCCTGGAGCCAGCTGCCAGCGGAGCTGCTGCTGCGGCGGCGGCATCTGAAGCGATTTCCGTCTTACGAACACTGAGGCCGGCGCCCGGCGGCTTGTGCACCCAGCCGGGCCCAGGAAGGAGAGGATCAGATACTTTTTATTTTATTTTGGAAGAAAGGGGCGAGTCTGGGTGTGAGCTTGCCTCCCGGCCTGGCCCGCTCCTCAGCGCGCCCCAGCTCCGGCCCGGGCTCTGGAAGATGACTCCGGAGTCTGCCCTGTGTATTCCAGCGGCGGCGGCTCGGGGAGGCAGCGGAAAGTAGTAACACTTGGTAGTAGCGGCTGGTGGAAAAGTGAGCGGAGTCGCGGCGGACTCGGCTCTCCCTGCGCCCCGGCGCCGGCTGCCTCTCGCTGCTCCTTCCTCTCGGTTCTCCGGCGGCCGCAGCATGAAGTGGCGCAGCGATGGCAAGGAGAGGTAAGAAGCCCATAGTCCGAACGCTGGAGGATCTGACGCTGGACTCGGGTTATGGTGGAGCGGCGGACTCGGTGCGCTCCTCCAACTTGTCCCTGTGCTGTTCCGACTCGCACCCGGCGTCCCCGTATGGCGGGAGCTGCTGGCCGCCTCTAGCTGACTCCATGCACAGCCGGCACAACAGCTTTGACACCGTCAACACTGCCCTGGTGGAAGACTCCGAAGGGCTGGACTGCGCGGGCCAGCACTGCTCGCGGCTGCTGCCGGACCTCGACGAGGTCCCCTGGACCCTCCAGGAGCTGGAGGCGTTGCTGCTGCGCTCCCGGGACCCCCGGGCAGGCCCGGCGGCCCCAGGTGGCCTGCCCAAAGACGCGCTGGCCAAGCTGTCGATGCTGGTGAGCCGGGCGCTTGTACGCATCGCCAAAGAGGCGCAGCGCCTGAGCCTGCGCTTCGCTAAGTGCACCAAGTACGAGATCCAGAGCGCCATGGAGATAGTGCTGTCCTGGGGCCTGGCGGCGCACTGCACGGCCGCCGCGCTGGCCGCGCTGTCCCTCTACAACATGAGCAGTGCCGGCGGCGACCGCCTGGGCCGTGGCAAGTCAGCGCGCTGCGGCCTCACCTTCTCCGTGGGCCGCGTGTACCGCTGGATGGTGGACAGCCGCGTGGCGCTGCGCATCCACGAGCACGCCGCCATCTACCTGACGGCCTGCATGGAGAGCCTCTTCCGGGACATCTACGCGCGGGTCGTGGCCTCCGGGTTGCCCCGGAGTTGCAGCGGCCCCAGCTCGGGTTCCAGCTCCGGCCCAGGCCCTGGCTCGGGCCCCAACGCGGCCCCAGCGGCGGATAAGGAGCGGGAGGCACCCGGAGGGGGAGCGGCGAGCGGC